CAGCAGAGGGGGAATGGGGATGAGTGGGGAAATGCATCTAGTGGAATGAGGGGCTTGAAAGCAGCCGGGACCAGCGGTGTCCCGCTTTCCGGGTAACACACCTTGAGAGTTCTGTTGGCCCCCCGCCCTCTCCCCAGCAAGAGCCCCACCGGGGGATGAGGGGGAAGGAGCATGGAGCAAGGGCCCCCTGCCTAGGGCACAAGCCCCGCCCTCGCCAGCACAGCGTTGCGCTCTACCCTGTAGCTCTCCTCTGACGGGCCAGGCCTTCCTGGCTGCGTGTGATGCGGGAGGCTTCCCAGCTGCGTGTGATGCGGGAGGCGTGTGGCCTCTCCCGGGGCAGTTACGCAGCAAGGAGCGGCGGCGCGAGGCCCTTGGGGATGGGGGTCGCTGCCTCGCCGTGCTTGGAGAGCTGTTGCCACTGAGCTCTGTGAGGTCAGGGTGGGAGTTGCCGGGTCTGCAGGCCACCGTGGTCCAGACGAAGAGGTGCTGAGGCTAGGGAGATGGGCATGAGAGGGAGGACCGGTGCCCTCCAAGCCCCAGCGTGTGTCTGGTCTGCCGTGCGGGGAACTAGCTGCCAGGAGTCCAGCCTGCTCTTGCCTAACTCTGCCGCTCGGTGTGCTGCTTGCAGGCTGAAAAGAAGGAAGATGGCAGACAAGGTCCTACCTCAGAGGGTAAGTGCAGCTCCCTGGCGAGCGAGCCGCAGCCCCAGGCGGGGAGTGAACCAGCCAGCGGAGGGGGGTGTTTACAGGAAGGCGACAGACATACCTAGGATAGGAAGGTTCCCAGGGTGTTGAGGCACCCTCAGTGGGGTGGGGCTGACATCCCCTGCCTGCAGTGAGGGAAGAGAATGCCTCTGGGTTAGGAGCTACCTGGGTGGGGCTGGAGGCGCACGACAGTTGCAGCAGGGAGGTCTGGGTTGGATATTAGGAAAAACGATTTCCCTAGGGGGGTGGGGAAGGGCTGGGCTGGGTTCCCTAGGGAGGGGGTGGAATCTCCATCCCTGGAGGTTTCTAAGTCCCGGCTCGACAAAGCCCTGGCTGGGCTGATTGAGTCGGGGTTGGTCCTGCCTTGGGCAGGGGGCTGGACTCTGCCTCCTGAGGGCTCTGCCAGCCCTGGGGTTCTGTGAGTCTAGTCAATGACGGTGCCTTGGAGCAGAGACCCCGGAGGAGCTCCTGGCCCGAGCGGTTGTTCCCATTCAAAGCCTCTGGCTCCGTTGGCAAAGGCCAGTCCACGGGGGTGTTTTGTCTGCTCTGCCTTCTGCTGTCCCACCTCCCCTGTCCCGCTGGAGCCCTAGGCTGGCGGCAGAGGAGAGGGGCAGGCACTGAGTGCCCTTGAGGCCACAAACGTGCCACCGGCTGCTACTGATGGGCATGGGGCAGCAAGCTTGGCTGTGTGCACACCCTGCTGAGGGCAGAGATGTGCAGGCCCGTGGCTGCTGTGTGATGGGCTCTGTTTGTAGATCCGGGAGCTGGTTCCAGAGTCTCAGGCCTACATGGACCTTCTTGCCTTTGAGCGCAAGCTGGATCAGACCATTGCCAGGAAGCGAATGGAAATCCAGGAGGCCATCAAGAAACCCCTTACGGTGCGTGACAGCCCCAGGGAGCCAGGCCCTTGTTCTCCAGCCCTTGGCACGAAGGAGCAGGCAGCTGCGTGTAGCCAGAGCTTCCTGCAAAGGGAGAGATGGTGCTCAGCTGCCCAGTGAGTAGGGCCCACATCACTCCTGGGCCGTCGGAGGCAGGGAGGCTGGCCCTGCAACCAGCCAGGGCCAAGGGGGGGGGCCAAGCCAGCCAGCTCGGGCGTGTGCGTTTCTCTCCTGCCTCACCTGCTCACTATGGGGGCGGCGCTGCCCCTCCGCCTGCAGCAGGTCCCTGGGGGGAGGGGCGCTGGCACGGGAGCTGCTGAGTGCGCCGTGACGCCGCGTGTTCTCTGCACTGCAGCAAAAGCGGAAGCTGCGGATTTACATCTCCAACACCTTCACCCCGGGCAAGGAGGAGGGGGACGGCAGTGAGCACGTGGCCTCATGGGAGCTGCGCGTGGAAGGCAAGCTGCTGGAGGATGTAAGGACACGGGCGTAGCGCCCTGCCACCTGAGCTGAGAACTGCTCCCTTGTGACCCACAGAGCAGCCTGTTAGGCCCCAATTGGGAGCCCTGCTCCTGGCCCACATCTCCCCTTTGCTGGCCACGGCCAGGCTCTGGCCTGGCTTCTCTGCCCAACATGAATTCCCACGTGGCACCTGGAGCACTCCCTTGCCCTCCCAGCTGGCTCTAGGGCCCCTGTCCTGGCCACCGTCGGCAGATAGGTCACTGGCCTGGGGTGCTGCCAGAGTAGCCCTTTGCTTTGGATCCGGAGGGCTGCTCCATCTCCCCCCTTCAGTAGCTCTATATTGCAGCTCCCTGTCCCTGAGCCCGATCAGGGTCTGGCTCGACCCCAGAGCCCCCAGCAGCCCCCGAGGAGCGCACCACCTCTCTGCAATCACCCGCCCATGTCTGCGGGTCCTGGGGTTCTGGTGCGTCGGGCTGAGCCCTGCCCTGGTTCCTTTCAGCCAAGTAAGCAGAAGAGGAAGTTCTCCTCCTTTTTCAAGAGCCTTGTCATCGAGCTGGACAAGGAGCTGTATGGGCCGGACAACCACCTGGTGGAGGTAAGGCGCGCCGAGCAGCTGCTGCGGGCTGGGCGTGGGGCTGCGTCTCCTAGCAGTGCCCTGACGAGCTGCTCTGGCGTGTGCTCATGGGAGGGGGGGGGAAGGGCACTCAGCGACATGCAGCAGTGCTGGGGCTAGCAGTGAGGCAGCTGCCCTGGGCCCTCCCTGCAGGGCGTGGCTGAAGCTCGCTCTGGCTCCAGCTTGTGGCTTGGTTGGTTTGTGGTGTGATTGGCCCGTGCCCAGAACAAAGTGGCAACTGCCTGGCCTGCCTCTCCCCCACCCCCCAAGACTCCCAGCAGCCACTGCCTGCAGCTCTGCTCCCCGCCCATCCGCCCTCCCTTAACCCCTTAAGGCCCGGCTGGCTGGCGGAGGGAGCTGCTGGGTAGAGGGGGGTGGGGCGGTTTGGAGTGGGGCAGTTGGGGAGGGGGCATAGGGAGGTTTGGAGAGGGGCCGGCTGTCGATGCAGCCCTGCGGGCTGGCTGGGTGAGGTTCAGGCAGGTAGGGACAGGTGACCAGTCAGGCCAAGGACAGCCTGTGCGGCAGGCAGCAGGGCTGTGTCGGGGTAAAGGTGCCTGCGGGCAGGCGGGAGGAGGAGGCGGCAGCGCAGGCTCCTGGGGCCAGTGTGGCAGGAGGCCGGAGGTGAGCGGTGTCCCAGCCCTCGGGGGCTGTGTGGGGATCACTGTACCAGTGGGCAGGGTGCCAAGACAGCGACTGCTGCCCACGCCGGCGCTGCTGCTGGGCATCCCTAGATTGAAAGGGGGGCTAGGGCAGTGCTGCCCTGCATGCATCAGAGGGGCGTGTCTCCAGCAGTCGTGTCGCCTCCTGCGTCCGGCAAGGGCTGTTCTCTCCCGCCAGTGAGATCCTGGCTCGGCCCAGACACGGCAGCGGCGCGGCCCTGCCCGATACCTGTTCCCGACAAGGGCCAGTGACCCTTAGCATCCCACTCTTGGGGTGAGCAGGCAGGAGAGCTGGGAGAACTTCAACCTTCACATGAACTACCAAGAGCCCGGTGGTGCCTTAGACACTAACAGATTTATTTGGGCCTCAGCTTCCGTGGGCAAAACCCCCATGACGCAGCTGTTGAAGGGGGGGTTTGCCCACAGTTTGGACCCAAATAAAACTGAGTCTCTGAGGTGCCACTGGACTTCGTGTTGCTTTTGCAGGTACAGACTAATACGCCACCCCTGAGACTTGTCCCCTACTTGTCCGGGCTAATGGTACCTGCTCCAGCCCTCAAACAACCGCATCTTCAATCTGCTGTTCCCCGCCCCATGGGGGCAGGACCTCTCGCGCTGAAATGTGCCACTAGGCTGTGGCAGGAGTAGGCCCTGGTTTGGAAACCCTCCCGGTGAAGGGCTCAGACCCCTGGTCCCAAGGCAGATAATCCCAGCTCTGCCGCCTGCATCTGCCTCAAGCGGGCAGTGCGGAGTGACCAGTGGGCTAGATCCCTGTGTGTGTTCAGAGCTGGTCAGCGCTAGGGATGTTAAAGACTAGTTGACTACTGTAGTCGATCCTCCCCCCCCCTTTGCTGCCTCTGAGATAGGCAGCAAGGAGCGGGAGAGGGGTACGTCGAAGTGGCAGCTGCACAGCTGTGTGGCCCTGCTGCTTTGAAACCCCAAGGCGGCATCCGCAGATTGGCCCCTTTGAAACGCCACCTCTGCACGTTTCAAAGGGGAATGGAGGCCCCAGCTGACCCCAGGCTCCGTGAGTTCCACATTCCTCCTTTGAAACGTACAAGAGCCCCGGGGGGGAGGAATGCGGAAGTGCCTCCATGGACTAGTGGACTAGTCAATGAACCGCGTTTTAACACCCTTAGTCAGAACAGCTCCTGAAGCCGCTGTGACATGTTTGCCGTTCTCTGTGGTCTGAGGGGGGGTGTCATGGGAATAATGGTCAGGGCACAGTGGCACCAAACCCAGCCATGACACCAAAGTGTGGAACCACTGCAGGATTCCGGGATCGTCCCTGGGTGGGAAATCCTTGAGGGTTATCTTTGCCGCAGGTATCGACAGACAGGGCTCTCCAGGTGGCTCATCTTGCTCCCAGGCTGGCTCGTCTTTCTGGGCCTGTCTGCAGCCTGGCTTTAGTTAGGAAAGTCAAGGTTCTGTGGCCAGGGTGAATCCTGGGGCCCCTGGATACACAGCACTGTGCTCAGCATCGCTCCTAGACCGTAACTCGGACTCTGCTGCCCACCAGGGCTCTGTGCTGCGACAGCTGCCAGCTCCGGGGCTGGTGATTTGCGTTTCCAGCCACAGCTCTGCTGACAAGCTGTTTGTGCGAGAATCCCCAGCCTCAGGCCTGCACGAGCCAGGAGCTCTTCAGAAACCACGCACAGACCCCCTGATCCCCACCCCAGGGCAGACGGCAGCAGCGGAGTGGGACACGCTGAGCCACACACACGTGCTGGGCGGGTTTTCGGCTGAGGCCAGGGCCTCAAACTCAGCTGCCCCAGGATGCTAAAGCCCATTCAAAGCGGCTGGAGCCTGCACAGTCAACTGCACAGGCTGCCTGGCGCTGGGTGAGGCTGTGAATGATGTACGGGAAGCACCCCCTTGTGGCCCCTGCAGTAAATGTGGCTCGTTGGCCTTTCCCCAGTGGCACAGGATGCCCACAACCCAGGAGACCGACGGCTTCCAGGTCAAGCGCCCTGGCGATGTCAATGTGAAATGCACCCTGCTGCTCATGCTGGATCACCAGGTGAGACCCAGGGGGCAGCAGTGCCCCGAGCGGCAGGAAGGGCAGCTGCTGGGGCAGGTCTGAGCAGCCACCGAGTGACTTGAAGGAGCCTGGGGGCCCCCAGCAAACGCGCGCGTGAATGCCGGCCAAGTGGT